GATAGATATATTAAAATCGTATTTTATACTTCACCCCAATTCAGTATCATCGATTTTGACATTTAAATGGAACTGTTTTTATGAGAGGATTTCATATTTTTTAATATTGGAATCGTATTATTTTAACTATTTTCTTATAGAGTATCTGAAGAGAACAAAAGTCAACTGAAAAATTGAGAATACATAGTCAAATACTAGCATTATTTAACTTTTAAATATTGAAAGTGATTCAGACAGGCACCTTTTAAAATTTTTTTAAAACATCAATCTGTTTTTTTTTCTAATTTATCTCATAAACGATATAATGAGTCTTGGACTATACAAGCAGCTCCTCGCCTTTGATCAAAATTATACAAAATCTGACTTAGATAAAATAGAAACTTAAGATCATTTTCAAATTTGAAAAAATAAATAATAGAATACGTCATCTGGTTACTTTCTGTAGTAACATAACGTATTAATACCTATGTTTGCAAGCTGTCTAGTCACACATTCATTCGAAATAGTTTATCTATTTAAAAATGAAAGAAATTATTATTCAGAACCGACGACTTCTAACATTGAACATAATGAAATACTCATGACTTATAATTATCAAAAGAAAATAAACCGATAAATTTCTCAAGTAAAATCATTAAACCACGACGAGACAACAAAAAAACAATAGATAAAATACACTCTCATTCATTAAAATCTGAAGTTTTTAAAATGTTACACGAATTTTGAAGCATATGTAAATCTCTTTTTTCATATATATGCTGTCATTATTCAATCATTTTTATATTATTCATTGTACTGTTTTGACTTGGTAATCATAGTGCACATTCTCATACTGACATATAATACTAATATGCAAAAACATCAGACTATCACAACTATTTAATGTCAGTTATATGACGACCAGTTATCAATATATTTCATTAGAGTGATGTCCATAGGGTGAGTTTTTGTGCTCTATCTTGGATTCTGTCCTTTCCTAACCTGTTCCATTACCGAAAACTGTCAAAATAAAAATCTACCACCTTGTACTCTGCTCGATCTGGACAGCAGATTAGAGTAGGGTTACCCTGTAGAATAGATATGCTCTTTTAATGTAATTTCTAATTTATTTCTACAATAGCAACTTTTGTGTATTGTGTCATAGAAAATTGTTTTATTTCAATCTATTTCACAATATCAATAAGTAACAGTCCAACTAACCAAATGTATGAATATCACCACATGTAAGACAAGTAAATGGTATCGTATACGCAACCGAGACTCACAGACTTCACCGTAGATCTTAAGCTAAAGAAAGTTCAACATATAGAACGGCAAAAACATATAATAGCTATTATCAAAGGATCATAAATAAACGATAGACTCTTTCTGCTGAAATTTCAAGCTGTCTAGATTAAAGCATTTATTTACACGTTGAATAATCCCAAGACAATATGCATTTTCTAGACAATGATAACAAATATATTGTGACATTTTGTATTAAAAAAAACCATTAGCTCTAATAATTTCCTGCTTATGAAACAAAAATAGAAGCTCAAAACTCTTTCTATAGACGTGCCTATTGCCCTAACGAAGCTATCATTCCTCTCAGAATACTCATAATGCGACTGAATTTCATCCATGCTATCTGTTATACGTCTCTCAAAAAAACGTCCAAATGCCACATTACTTATTTAAACAATTCCAAAAAACAGTTATTCACCTAATTTTCAGAAATTCGTAAAACTGTGGCACTAAACATGCACTTTGCATCAATATAACCACTACTGTCGCATATAGACTCTCCAACAACATTCTTTATAAAACTCTATCTCTACTCAGCAAAATAAACGAATGATATATCAGATGAATCGGTTAGAAAGCTATTATTACTCGTTAACATGTCACAAATCTTTCTACCTCGAAACTCTCCATTATCCAGGCAACACAAAAATAATCAATCAACATACGAAACAAATTTATTAGCAACCTAAATTTATTCTAGAATTCAATGTTTCCACGTCCCGATCATAAAAATACATAAATAATAAATAAGCATAGAAAATAAATTTACTAGCAATTAAATTTTAGCCAATCACTCAATTTCTCCATGTCCTGATGATTATAAAAAAAAACATAGAAAACGAATTTGCTAGCAATAAAAATTTAGCCAATCATTGAATGTCCACCATGTCCCGAGCATAAAAAAATTTTAAATAATAAAATAAGTATAGAAAACGAATTTGCTAGTAATTAAAATTTAGTCAATGATTTAATGTTCCCATGTCCCGATGATTATAAAAAAATATAGAAAACAAATTTACTAGGAATTAAATTTTAGCCAATCATTCTATATCCCCATGTTCCAATGATTATAAATAAACATAGAAAACGAATTTGCTAGCAATTAAAATTTATCCAATCATTTAACGTCCTCATGTCCCGAGCATAAAAAATTTTAAATAATAAAATAAATATAGAAAATGAATTTGCTAGCAACTAAAATTCAGTCAATCATTCAATGTTCCCATGTCCCGATAATTATAAAAAAACATAGAAAACAAATTTACTAAAGATTGAAATTTAGCCAGTCATTTAATGTTTCCGTGTCTCGAGCATGAAAAAATATAAATATTAAATATTTGTCATCAAACTAAGAATACACATGAAGTGCATAATAAACTAATGGAATATTGTTCATACTTTAATATCAATTTGTACACAAATAAAACTAATGTGTTTTAATCTTAAATAAATTTAAATCTCAACTATAACATAAACAACAGTTAAAAACAGCAGTAAATCCGACGGCAGCAAATCGTGTAATCCATTTAAACTATCCATAGAATTAGGGTGTGGGTGTGGATGTGGGTGGGTATGAGGTGTGGGTGTGTGGATGGGTGTGCAGGTATGGGTGGATATAGGGTGTGGGTGTGGATGTAGATATCTGTCTGATCTTTAGCCTCACACTCCACCCACACCCGCCACCCACACCCGCCACCCACACCACCCACAGCCACAGTCACACTCCACACCCATCCCTGCTCAATATTTTAGTTTATTTTATTCTAAGGTGGCTTTTGTTTATTTAATTTTAATTGATTTAGTTTTTTTATCTGATTCTCAACTAATGTATTGAAGTTTTATTTAGTTCATTTTTAATTTCTTTCCCGTTCATTTTATTCCATATTTATTTCATTTTATTCGATCGTGTTTCACTACAAGTATAGTGCCCTCATCTACATGCACTGTAGTGGTGTAAATTGAATTAATCATTGTATATACATGGTTGAAGTGATGTTCATCGTATTTTATTTCATTCTGTTTTAGTTTCACTTCAATTACGGTAAGGTTGCTGTCAACAATGAGCACAAAACTTTTATTTTTATTACTTTTGTTTAATTAACTTTTATTTAATTAATTTTTAATCTTTTTATTATACTTTATTCATTTTTTTTCATTTCATAATTTGATTTTGATGTAAGTTTTTAGTTGGTTGTTTTTGTACCATGATTGTGCTTGCTCTATTCTAATTATATTGCCTCTTAAATTCTATTACAAAAAGAAGTCCGTGTTGAGTGAGTCGAAACTATTTTATTTTAATATTGTTTTCTTTTGGGTGTGTGTGGGGGGGGGGGGGGGGGATTGGGGGGTGTTGATGTGGGTATAAGCAGAGAGCAACACCCACACTCTCACCCTCTTATTCTATATTGAAGCTTAAAGTACGATAGCACAAAAATTAAATCTGTTAATTATAGAGTTTTTCGATCAAATTGTTTTTCTGATGCACAGGTGACTGTTCACGGAAAAGTTCATATGATGCCAACAGTATACATATTCATGCCATACTCATGAGCAAAAACATTGAAATTAAAAGAGTGACTGTCAATTTTAATTGCTTTCGTACTCGGTAACGTCATTGGCGTGTGGATGTAAGTGAGAAAAAGAAACGTGACTACAGTCAAATTGTTTTGTTGGCATGGACGTGGATGTAGGTGTTGGTATTTCTTTCATTCTCACCCATCCACACCTCATTCTAATCAGCTTAATGAATCAGCACAACAGCTGAGTCGTAACAAAACGTGTTTTTCTAATAACTGGTATGTAAATGTGGGTTAGAATTTTAGTTATCCTGCCATCTACTTACATCTATATCCTGAACATTCAAACAAGTAAAAAGAAACAAAACGATAGACCGAATAGACGAACAGAAAAATTAATACCGAATAATCAAATGTAATTATTTCTAGATACATGATTTCGTTGCACAAGCGGCATGCATGACACATGGAGAAAGTCACTATTCCCTTGCGTCATGTTCGTCAATATAATGAAGAGAAGCAAAAAAACCAACAGAACGCAAAGGCAGAAACAAACTAACCACGTGAAGTCTTTCTCATTTAAAACCAGGAGTTGAGAATGTGTGATATATATACAAAGTGAGATGGACGTGCGTGCTTCGCAAAACATTACTTTCTGTGTTGCGATTTGATAAGCATTGAAACATAATTTTTGTTATACATTCAAAAAATAATTATTCTAGGTAGTACTTCTATATTCACGAGTTTGCTGATCCATCACACTGCCAAACTCTTTCCTTTAATTTTGTGGCACAAAGATGATTAGAACACTTCAGAAAAATATTTATCAGTTCAATTGTAAATTTCACAGGATAGTTCATTACAATTATTGTTGCCATTGATCGTAAGTAAGAAAGAACATTTTAGCGTGACTAATCAATCATATTTCAAATCAAAGAAATATTTTCTAAATAGATCTACCATTTTTGAGTATATGCAAATTCGCTCTATATAACTGTGATGAGATTTCAATACTGCCTGTGTGCATTTCTCTTTCGCATAAATCATGAGAACAGTTTCTTATAAAATACGATATTATTCTTCATTTCATCAATGGGGAGACGTGTTCTTCGAATTTCTAGTATTTGGTAAAGTCTTTTTCATATGAAGTCCTATTTAATATTTCACTTCTTCTGAAAGAATCTATTGAAAGTTTCAGATATGGGTAACTGCATGCCAGGACAGGCATTGAATCAAGAAGACACTAAACTTGTGGTTGATTGGGGAACTGGCGAAAGAGAAGTATCTGTATCATTGAATGACACAATAAAAACAATTAAAAAACGTCTCCATTATTTGACTGGTTATCCCGTCGACGAACATTTTCTTATGTATGATGGCGGCTCACTTTGGCAAGATAATTGGGTTCTTGGAAGTTATAATCTTCCTAGCAATGCCAAAATTACTATTCGGCGCAATAAGACATTCGGAAAACCTGTTATTCGTCTTCGATCTATCAATGGACAATCGATTTCAAATGTCAATGTTCAAATACATCTCAATAGTGCTTGGAATTTTTCGAGTGTCTATCCAGAACTAGCCCATACTGATGGAGTTTCATTTGTCGAATGGAATAATATTCAAGTTCATCCAAATGGACAATTAATAATCAAACAAAAAGAACAAGAGATCAATATGAGTGAGCTGTCTTATATATCCCTAGATGTATAATTTAAACTTTTATGTTATAGCCCGTCGTTATCCTTTGATTGATGATGAACACGAGTATCGTATGCTCTTTTGGGAGGCAACGACCGATCATTTATCAGCTTTCTCTCTCGACCATGCTCTGTGTGTTCCACGTAGTGATTTTGCACGTGTACTCAACTACCTTCTCAAGAAAATGACCTTCTCATCAGAAGATTGTGATGATATGATCACGTATGTTCTTCCACATCTTGATGAAACTGATTCCGAACTGAGTAAGAAGAATGTTATTTTTCGTTTTTTGTCACCTGACGAATATACAAACATGGCTCAATTGCATATTCGACCGATGC